GGTAGGCCTGGGCGGTAGGAATGGTTCTAAAGCGAGGGCGCTCAGTGGGGGGGAGGGCATTGCTAATGGCGAGCTGAGCAAGGGCATCGCGGGAAAGCCAGACAGAGCGGGCAAGGGCAGCAGCGGCAGTGGACTCGCGCTCAGCGGGCGTGGGATCAGCGGGCAGCACAGCAGGGGGGTCAGGGCAGGGGAGCATACCGTCTAGGTGTGCAGAAAGCGGGTGGCCGTCCTGCCGCTGGCCAGTGAGGTGGCGGCGAAGGTCAGCCAACCACGCCTCGAACTCCAGAGGCTGACCCTCAACATCAAAACGAAGCTCAGCAGCCATGAGGGGCAGTGGAGGACAGTGCAGTGCGGTGCAGTGCAATGCAGAGCGGTGCAGTGCGGTCCAGTGCGGTGCAGTGCGATGCAGTGCGGTGCAGTGCGGTCCAGTGCGGTGCAGTGCGGTTAGTGCGATCCAGGGAGGTGCAATGCGATGCAAGGCGGGGCAGGAAAGTGCAGGAGGGTGCAAAGTGGTGCGGGGAACGGGGGACAGTACCAGGAAGTATGGAGGGCCGGGGCAGGTGCGTCGGGGCCGGGCAGGCACGACAAGGCCGGGCGGCGGCGACGGGGCCGGGCGGCTGCGACGAGGCCGGGCGGCGGCGACGGGGCCGGGCGGCAGCGACAAGGCCGGGCGGCTGCGACGTGGCCGGGCGGCTGCGACGGGGCCGGGCGGCTGCGACGGGGCCGGGCGGCAGGGACGAGGCCGGGCCGGACACAGCAGGGCCGGGCAGGGGCGACGGGCCGGGCGGCTGCGACGTGGCCGGGCGGCTGCGACGTGGCCGGGCGGCTGCGACGGGGCCGGGCGGCTGCGACGGGGCCGGGCGGCAGGGACGGGGCCCGGGCAGGCCACAGCAGGGCCGGGCAGGGGCGACGGGGCCGGGCGGGCGAGCAGGGGCCGGGCAGGTGCGACAGGGGCCGGGCAGCCGCGACAGGGGCCGGGCGGGCGCCACGCGGTCGATAGGCCGCGACGGGGCCGAGCAGGGGCGACGGGGCCGAGCAGGGGCGACGGGGCCGAGCAGGGGCGACGGGGATGGGTAGGGGCGCGACGGGGCCTGGAGGGGCGGTACCAAGCCCAGGTAGGGGCGCGACGGGGCCTGGGGGGAGCGCAATGGGTCCCAGGAGGGGCGCTACGGGGCCTGGGAGGAGCGCGACTGGGCTAGGGAGGGGCGCGACGGGGCCTGGGAGGAGCGCAATGGGGCCCAGGAGGGGCGCTACGGGGCCTGGGAGGAGCGCGACGGGGCCCTGGAGGGGCGCTACCAGGCCCTGGAAGGGGCGCGACGGGGCCTGGAGGGGCGCTACGAAGCCCTGAAAGGGGCGCGACGGGGCCTGGAGGGGCGCTACAAGGCCTGGGAGGAGCGCGACGGGGCCCAGAAAGGGGCGCAACGGGGCCCAGGAAGGGGCGCGACGGGGCTAGGGAGGGTCGCGACGGGGCTAGGGAGGGTCGCGACGGGGCTAGGAGCACGACGGGGCCCAGCTAGGGGGCGAGCGGAAGCGTGAGGGGGGGGGGGGGGATCCTACCTACGCGTGATACCATATTAAACAGTGAAATTGATGAATAGAGAGAGAGAGTACACAAACATATACCTAACAGTTGTACTCTCTAGAAGATGACCCTATACAGTCTATACAAGCATGATAACTAAACATGTTTGACAACAAGGGTCTGTTCATGCGTCCTTCAATCTTGCATATGAACCCCACCCCCACACATGTCGCACATCCCCATAACATCATTGATCATTTTCCCCATGGTTTACCGTCTGTTTCATTTGGTGGTGTTGCAGGGTTGTGCCTTCACAAATCCAAGCAAACGCGCGGTCATTGGAGCTTAAGTAATTGATGTTGGTCCCATTTGACCATATTACATGCTTTCGAACACTATTTGTCCACCCAACATGCGACTCCATGATTTGCAGCCAGAACCTGATATTTTTCCAAAATAGTCATGGCTTCTACGACTGCAGCACCGTGATTAGACCTGCAGACCCTAGTGTGTTTTTAATGGTGCAAGGATGCACAACAGGGTCCTCCTTAGCAGACAAAATCCGTCAGTTTGTCGTATTTTCAAACGAGATTTTTTTGTTTCTTCTTATTTTTCAGACGTCCAAAAATAGAAATTCTAATGCCTTCAAAATTGAATTTTAGTACTTCTAATTTTCCATGAACTATGTACTTGTTCTTCTGACGTTTCAGACTCAGCGATTCTGCTCGTCTACGAGCAGTTGCTATATACGCCCCCCCTCTAGGTTGAGTAAGGTGCTAATTCGCCCTTCAGCAAAATTCATGCTTGCTTCGTGTTCTAGGTTGTGTGAGCGGCCTGATTGTCCCTTCACCAAATTACCATGCCATGTGCGCTGGGGGGCGAGTGACTGGGCTGATTGGCCCTTCACTAAATTCCCGTGCCATGTGTGCTGGAGGGTGTGTGAGGGCGCTGATTGGCCCTTCGTGTAGGTCAAATCAAATCAAAGCGATGTGCTGTTGGCTGTGCGAGGGTGGCATCGTAACCGCAACAGCCTAAACCCCCCCACCCCCCACCCCCCCCCCGCACCCACCCCGCCCTCCCACAACTTGTACTTGCACGCGTCTTTCGGAGGGGAGGATTCCCCTTCTCCGCCCCTGCTATGTCGAATCTCCCCACCACCTCCAGCTCGATCCCCCCCACCCCACTTCTGCAATCTCAGTTTTCCCGCCCCTGAAATTTCTCGATTCTTCCCCAACCTCGGCCCACCCGTGTCCTGATTTCGCCCTGCACAAGCAAATTAGTATTTTTCTCGCCACACGTTTTACTCGAACGCGCCCCATCCGCCTAATGACCCTAGGGCATTTAGAAATTCAGTTCGGAAATTTTTGTTTCCCCTTGTCGCACGTGACGTGACTTTACCGCAGCTAAACTGGAGTGTGACGAGATGATCATAAATTTTACGAGGTTTTATCTAAATTTTTAGAAATCGGTAATCATTTTGTCTCGGAAATCAGGAAAAGAAAATCCACACATCTTATGATCAAACGGGTCTGAAGGGCTCGTCTGATCATCAGAAAGAGAAAAAAAAGCCTAGGGAGGACCCTATTGCACAGTTAATCATGCAATGTTACCCTCCGTTTCGCGGTGTCTACGCTAGATTTGGCTGCTCTATTCGCGATTTTACCATATTATGGTACGACGAAGACGATCCGTGATAATTGGGGCCGACTGGCTAATTGCATCTTTGGCCACATCTCAGCATGGCTAGTGTCAGAGATACCATTCAATCCAAAATTGTCTACAATACTCTTGCATACGCCCAACTTTTTTGCGATTTTCCTAGTGCTCACTGTTAAACTATATATTGTGTTATATAATTGGTAGGCTTGGTAGGTTACCGAACTCTATTGTAGAGGGTACAACTCCCTCCTTGTATGCCTCTCTCTCCCTAGTCTCTCCCTTTTTTCTCTCGTCAAGCTTTACTCTCCTATCTCCTAGCTCCTAAACACTCATGCCATTTCATGGCCGCTCTTCCTTTATAGCTAGTTTTTTAACATGGTATCAGAGCCAGTTCCCTTCACTGGCCTGCTGCCCACGCTTCCGCCGCGCACTCCTTTTCTTCATCGCACGCTGCCATGGCGGCCGCGTCGTGCTGTTGTGGTGGCGTTGTCGTGCCGTTGGCCGCGTCGTGCCGCGGCCGTCCCGACGCGCTGCCGTAGCGTCGCGCCGTCATGGCGTCGACGTCCAGCCGTGACGGCACCGCCATCGTCGGGCCGCTGGCAGCGTTGTGCCGCGGCCGTCTCAACGCGCTACCGTGGCGTCACGCTGTCGTGGCGTCACCGTCTAGCCATGGCGGCCATTTCTAGGTGCCGTGGCGGCTTCACCGTGCCGCCATGCGTCCGTGCCGCCGTCCCGGCAGTAAGCGTCGCGCCATCTATGGCGCGTCGCTAAAGACTCACCCCCCTCCCCCTCCTTCCCCTGCGTCCCCTCCTCCTCGCCACAACTGACGCCTGAATCGTGGGGGACCCAATCGTCGCGAAGGTTGGCCATGCCGCCGAGAGGGCGGGGGCCGCTGCAGTCGCCTTTGACGCTCAAGCCGCCAGAGCCGCCGCTGTCGCCACTGGCCTGTTGCCGCCGCTGGCCTGTTGCCGCCGCACGCCGCCGCCGCCGCCGCCGCCGCTGTCTTTACTGCCGCCGCTGTCGCCATTGCCATCTCACGGGCCGTGGGGGTTGGCCCCACCGTTGTAGTCGTGGCTGATGCTTGCAACGGGGGTGCTAGGTAAGGGGGTGTGGGTGTGTGTGGGCTTGCCATTACCAAGCCTAGGGGGTGTGTTAAATTATATATTGTATTATATAATTGGTATGCTTAGTAGGGTACCGAATTCTACTGTAGAGGGTACAACTTCCTCCTTGTATGCCTCTCTCTCCCTAGTCTCTCCCTTTTTCATCTCGTCAAACTTTACTCCCCTAGCTCCTAGCTCCTAAACCCTCACGTCATTTCATGGCCGCCCTTCCTTCCTGGCTAGTCTTTTAACACTCACCCCCTTATGCGAAATGGTGGGTCTAGGAAGAGTGCGAGAAGTTTTATGTCAAGGTTTGCACTAACTTCATAGGTAACACGCTTAGGAGGGTGCAGGCAGTGATCAAGGCCACAGGTCGGTGGATTATGTACTGGAAACGCAGTTCTGAAGTTTGCTCTCTCTGTTTGGAACTATTTGTCCGGATGTGCCTTTTGTTCATCTTCTGGGATATAAGTAAGATCCAATGTACTATTCTGGATTTTTGTGTTGTTAACGCATCCACTATGTGCCACTCCCATATCGTACCACCACTAAGGCTGAATGTATAGTGTTCTTAAAGCTAAAAAATCTAATTAATGAAAAACATACGTACAATTGTTTCCGCCACTGTACCTTTTTGCAAGGCTTAGTTTGGAACACGCCCTCACAGACAAGCTTGTGATACGTGTATATACGCCCTACCCACTACAGCACAAGACTCCGCAGCCAAGCACGAGTCGCCTATTGCTTCAGTGCACTGCTGCCGTCAACCACGGCTTCCTCGCCATGGCTTCGCGACGCCTGGTCGCCTCGCTTTCGCGCCGCCATATTCCCGATCACTCGCCAGTACTGCTAGCGCGATGCACCTGGATCCATTTTCGCCCACTTGCCTCACTTCCGACCAAATCACTGGCTTCATCGCAGATCGGATCCACCCTAGGATCTCACATCCCCGCTCCTTCGCTAATTCCTTCGCCAACTCCTTCGCCGCATCTCCACCCTACCTCCACCCGATTCGCCAACCCGTCGTTTCGTTCCGCTGACGTCACCAGTGTCGCATGGGCTCCGACACCTCAGGCGTCTGCTGGCTTCTTGCTTACTAAAGGGTTTGCGAGTTTCCCCTGGGGATCCCTGAATCCGTTATCACCATCCCAAGGCCGTGCTTCAGTCGCCATCCGTGCATCTGTTGCAAACCGTTCTCTTATCGCATTCCCGCTGCAGCAGCAGCAGCAGCACCGACAGTTGCACCAACAGACCCAGCAGAGCCAGCAGCAGCAGCAGCACCGACAGTTGCACCAACAGACCCAGCAGAGCCAGCAGCAGCAGGATCCGCAGCAGCAGCACCCGTCAGACGAATCCGTCCACTTCTCGCTAGACTCCCGCGTTACTAGCGGATCCGATAATGCTTCGGTGGTGTACCAAGGGCCCTTCTCCTCCCCTCTCCGCAACGTCAAGATTCTCTCCCTCTCCACCTGCATCCTCTCCCTCACCCTAGGACCTATTGTTACCTTCTACTCTACCACCGCCTTAGGAGCAGCGGGAGGAGCAGCAGCAGCCGGCGCAGCTGGCGCAGCCGCGGGAGCAGCGGGAGCAGCAGGAGCAGCAGGAGCAGCAGCAGGAGGGGTCGGCACAGCAGCAGCTGCAGCACCAAATGCAGCCGCCACCGTACTCCTTAAAGGCAGCATCGCTGGTACGTTAGCGCTCTTCAGCACAGCCACTACAGCTACCTTACACTGGGTGGGCTCTCCCTACGTCCGCAGCATCAGATTCCGCAGAGGCGCGCCGAGCATGCAGGTGGAGACGTTATCCTGGATGGGTACACCTCTACAGAGCACTGTATATCTTCGCGATATAACGGCCGCGCCACAGGGCAACCGGCCGCTACAGCCGACGTTTCTAGCAGGAGGAAAGGAGTACTATGTGGATCTGGAGCTGGTCCAGTGCCCAGAGCTGAGGAGACGGCTGGAGAGGGCGGAGGGAGGGCAGAGAGCGGAGTCTGTGGGCTCCCATGATTGACTCTCCCTGCGGTGTATGGTTTCTGGTGTCTGGTGCATGGTGTGTGGAGCCGGTTTCGTGCAGCGAGAAGTAGGGAAGGAGTAATACCGTGTGTGGATCTGGGGCTGGTGCAGTCCCATGAGCTGATGAGACGACTGGAGAGAGAGGTGTATGGATGGTGTGTGTAGTGGGAGGAAAGGAGTGCTACATGTATATCTGGAGCTGAGGAGACAGCACTCTGGAGTAGGGGGTTGTAGCACCAAGGGGGTCTGGAGCATTGCTGTATGTGGATGTGGAGCTTGTTCTGTGGTGTAAGGGCTCAGGAGTCGAGGAGACAGACTGGAGAAAGGGCAGGGGAGGGCATAAGGAGAGTCTGTTGGAACTTTTGATTGGTACGATTCTGTAATCTCAGTACCAGGCCCCACAATATTGAGAAGTTTACACTGATTTTGCCCTTTTTCAGGGTGCTTTGCTGTACCAACCCTGGAAAATCAATGTCTGACTGGGAAAACCAGGGCCAACCAATGAGAAAACAAGGTTTTATTACCCCTGATTTCTGGGTGTTTCTTGTCGAGTGACCTGCTGGGGTTTGTTAGAATGTCGAGAGAAAATTGGACTTAGACAGGAAGGCTGAGGGTTACAAAGGTGGGAATGTACCCTCTAAGAACTGACCTAACTAAGGCTATGACAAATATACTGTAGAGGACGTCAGCCAGCGGAGCTCCTGAGCAGCCATGGCCCCAGCGTAGATCTCTGCCTCACAGCTGGACTGAGCTACAGACGACGACCTGGTGGACCTCCTCGAGACTGCACCAGCACCAAGACTAAAGCAGTAGCCCTGAGTCGACCTGAGTGTCTCCAAGTCGTCTGCCCACGACGCGTCTGTGTGTCCAGTGAGCACCACTCGCTCCCGTCCTCCTAGCACAAGCCTTAGTCCTGATGTACTCGCCGGATACCGTAGTACCCTCTTGGTAGCCGACCAGTGGACTGGTCAGTGCCTGCCTGTCGCGACAAAGCGAGCCAGGTTAATTAGAGAGTACGCTAGATCTGGTCGAGTGCAGGTCATCAGGTACATGAGGCATCCCACCAGCTCTGCGTATGGACCACTAGCCTCGACCGGCTCAGCCAGAACAGGAGCAGACAGCTTGTGATCCACAGGCAGAGGGGTGGGCTGTGCTGAAGAGAACTGGAAACTAAACCTCTGGAGGATCTGCTGCACCATATGGGACTGGAAGAGTGTGATCGTACGAGCGGCACGGTCATGAGAGATCTCCAAGCCCAGATAGCGCCTCAGCTCCCCCAAGTCTGTACAGGTGTGTCTCCTAAGTAACTCGGCCTTCACTGAGGCTAGTGCGACTCTGTCGGGAGTAGCAAAGATAAGATCGTCTACGTACACTAGAATGTAGAACGGTGTCTGACCCGTGCGAACAAAGAGAGAGGGGTCAGCAGAGGACGGAAAGAACTGCAGCTCAGCAAGAGTGGTGCGAAGCGTGTCGTGCCACTGATGGGGTGCCTGACGAAGGCCGTAGACAGGACGGCGCAGGCTCCACTGGGTCCCAGATGGGAAGGACCCAGAGAAGCCTAGAGGGCGCCGGAGGTAGATCTGCTCGTACAGACTACCCTGCAGGAACGATGTGGAGAAGTCGAGTGAGTGAAGCTCGTAGTCACGCTGTGCGGCTATGTGAAGAAGGACCCGAAGAGTAGTCATCTTCGGGGTCGAGGAGAAGGTCTGGAAGAAGTCCACTCTCTCACGCTGACTGAAGCCTCTAGCCACGTAACGCCCCTTGAACTTTGGCGGCTATCCAGGTGTGCGCTTCACCTTGTAGATCCACATGTTATCGACTACGTTCGCCCCAGGCGGGGGAACTACATCGACGTAGGTGCCAGTGGATCTGTAGGATGCCATCTCAGTCTCCATGGCCTGTATCCACTGGGCTGCCCAGGGCCCCGACACCGCCTCAGCGTAAGAGAGCGGAGCAGGGATGTCGAGAGCGTCTGGGTCGCCCTCTGGGGATTCAAGCATGGAGCAGAGATGGGGAACAGCGGCAGCAAGGTAGGCCAACTCGTACTGCCTGTCCTCTAGCACATCACTGCCAAGGGCAGGTGCACCACCGACGGACGAAGGACGGACAATACCAGAGACCAGAGCGGCAGCGTAGTCAAGGCGGTGGCTAGCAGCAAAGTCAGCGAAAGCAGCGACCAGCGCGGAGACTGACTCAGGAGAAGCAGTAGGGTCAGTGACAAGCGACGCAAGCAGGCACGACAGGACTGGAAGAGCAATGCGAACAGCGTCGGAGCGAGGAGGGGGGGACGACGGTAGCGACGACAGGGGAGGCAACGGGAGGACTGTGACGGGAGGAGCATGCGAACGAAGGAGCATAGGGTGGACACTAGGACGGGGGGAGACAGGACGAGCACCAAAGGGGCGACGAACCCAGTGGGGAAGAACTGGGGACTGGGGACGAGGGGGGGCGGGGGACAGGTCAGGGGACGGAGAGGAGCGCGGGGGGAAACGAGCCGGAGAGGAGTCCGTAGGAGGAAACAACGGGCCGTAAACAGGGTCACGCACCGGAGGGGGAACGAGCGGGCTGACAGGGGAACCTGGAGCAAGACCAAGGAGACGAAGGGTAGACTGCGGCGGCTGCACTTGCTGCTGCTGCTGTTGCTGCCTGCTCGCTCCAGGACCTCCAGTGGCACCCCAGCTGCCACCTGCATGCCACGAAACAGCACCCCCAAGACTAGCACCCTCGGTCTCACCACCTACAGAACCAGCACCCTTGGAGTCAGCACCCCCAGAACTCGGACCCCCAGAACTAGCACCCCCAGAGCCCACTGCTCCCTGCTGCTGCTACTGCAGCCGTGGAGTCTGCGGCGGCAACGGCTGCTGCTGCTGAGGCAAGAGAGCAGGCGGCAAAGGGGCCTGGGGGACTGAGGCTGGGGGAGGCGCCACAGGGACAGCAGGCGCACCCCTAGCAGCTAGGCCCCCAGAGTCAGCCGACTCCCCCACAGAGGGAACCGAGGGGAAATGAGTGGCGTGGGAGACACCAGACTAGGCCGGGCGGGGCGGGAGGGGTGTGGCAGGGGGGGCAGGAACAAGGAAGAGAGGAGGAGGAGGCACAGGAGCGCTGCGGTGCGGGGAGCGCTGGTAGTAGGGGAGCGTCTCGTCGAAGGTGACGTCACGAGAGTGGTAAAAACGGTGGTGGGAGGGGTGGTAGAATTGCCAGTCAGAGGCGTCAAGCGGGAACCCCAAGAAGACACAAGGAAGAGTGCGGGCTGAGAGCTTGTCCGCGGCAGTATCGCGGACGTGAGCAAGGTTGCCCCAGACGTGGAACGCAGATGCGTCACCAGGAGACCCGGTCCAGAGGAGGGTCGGCGAAACCTGTGGTCGCTGGGAGCGCGGCCACAGGTTAAGCTAGTGAGTAGCGTAGCGCATGGCGAACGGCCACAGAAAATGGGGTGCACCAGCGTGGATCATGGAGGTGTGAGCCACCTCCATGATCAGGCCGATGCGTCGCTCAGTGACCCGATTCTGCCGTGGGGAGTCCGGCAGTGTGTACGTCTGGCGGATGCCCTCCGCATGACAGAACCGTCCTAGAGAGCCAGAGGCGAACTCGCCACCACGGTCAGAGTGTAAGCGACCTACAGAACGTCGGTGGGCGGTGCGAACAGTGAGAAGCCACGGGAGGAGAACGGTTGGCACGTCGGCCTTCCTCTCCAACGGGAAAACTGTGGAGAACCGCAAGAAGTCGTCAACGACGACTAGGAAGTAGTGCTCCTGACTGAGACCATGGACCGGGGCAGGGCCCCAGACGTCCATGTGCAGTGTCTGTAGCGGTGCTGTGGTAGGAGGAAACGAGGAGGAGTGAGGGGCGGCGCACTGCCTGCCCTCGACGCAGGAGGTGCATATTGGCGCTACCGACGGAGGCAAGGCGGGAAGCGACGCAGGGAGACCAGTGACTAGACTGTACTGGGACATGTACCTAAGACGCGGGAGTGCAGGGTGACCTAAGCGGTGGTGCCACAGAAGGTTCGGGTGGGCTAGTGAGCGACAGGAGCAGGACGCGGCGACCTCGGCAGACGCAGTAGTGAGCGGGGACCGACACCCACTAAGTTCCTAGCAAACGAGGGGATGTGCAGACCTGTGAGGTAGCCAGAAGGGATAGTCGGACGGGGGAGAGTGGTGGTGCTACGTGCGTCAGCTGTGGCGGAGGAGTCTGCTAGTGCGACACGGACAGGCGTAGGAAGCGGGGTGAGAGCAGTACTATCTCGAAAGAAGCACCAAGATGCTCTAGAGTCTAAGACAAAGGAGAGGGCCGACGAGGTGGGGCCTGGTGAAGAGTCTGTAACAGGTCCTACGCCTGACGGCGCAGGGAATCCTCGACTACACACAGCAGTAGCTCCAAGGCTACAAACAGCAGGATAATAAAAACTAGCAACACTAGAAGCATCAGAATACAGAGAATACAAGGCATGGTCAATCTGAATCATATTCATATCAAATATAGAAACTCCACGACGAAGCAAGACCGGTCAGGGGGGAACCTGCACCTCCGGGCCGAAGTGACGACGGTAGAGGTCGTCTAGGCAGCGGAAGCAGCGAGCGGCGATGTGCCCCACGCGCCTGCACACATGGCCCACATGTGGGCCAGTCAGTAGTTGGTACGTGCAGGTTACCGCATTACCAGAACCACCAGCACCCTGACTCACAGAAGAGCCACGCGACCCCCAGGGCACCGACAGCCCTGGGTGTGAGAGTACGACCCCGTTACACCACTTGGCCTTTTCTTATTTCCTTCCCTTTTCATTTCTCTTTTTACCGCATCTCATTTGGTTTCCTATTCTTCCTTTTCCATTAACCTTTGGTTTATCCTGCTATTATCATTATATCACCGACCAGGCTTGGGATGTATTGGTGCGCTCTATCTAGCGTAATCCTGCTGTAATCCCTTAAAGCCAATAGCCTCGCGTGGCTATACGCAGGGTGATTCTATCTTCTAGAAGGGTCTATTCCCTTAGGATAAGATAAACCTGGTTACCTGATGTACTCTGGAAGTATAAAAGCGCCTTGTACTGATCGATAGTGCAACCTTTCCTCGACACATTCGATCCTGTGACACTTGGTAATCAGAGCTTTTCTCACTCGGCCGCGCTCAGCTAAGCAGCAGCAGCGGGGATCCTGCCTCGAAAAACCGCCGGGGGCGACCAATTCGACGCCGATTCTGGTAAGCACCAGCTCCGCGATTTTCGAATTACCCCCTCCGTGCGTGTTTTGAACAGGATGGCAACCTTCGACAACGCCGAGGTTACCCAGCAGCTCTTCGCGCGCATCGCAGCCCTTCAGGAGGAAATGCGAGCAGATCGCGAAGCGTGGCGAAACCAGTTCGAGCGAGTAACTCGACTCGCCGGAGCGCAGCACGAGACGACAACGGCGACGACGCAGCAGTCGCAGCAGTTTCTCGAGGC